TGTCGAGCTTTTCTGCCTGCATGTGGAGAGCCAACACAAGGGACTGATGCTGCGGATCAGCAGTTTCTTCCCCTTCCACTCGTGTATCGCTCCCCTATCACTCATGGGGGGCTGGTGAAGCCCTCCGGCAGCCGGACCCACCACGCTCCCCCCTTCATCTCCCTCCTCCTGTAAGGCCAAACAGTGCCTCTGACACCCGTCTCCAAGAATACGTTTGCTGCATGGAGCAGAGAACCACGAAGGGGTTTGGACCCAATCCATGAGCTTTTGGCCAGACCCTTCCCAATCTACATTATCCTTCATCAGTGCATAATCAGGCTCTCCAAACACGGCGTTCTCAGGTCCCAGCCCAGAGCTTGGAGCCTCCCAAGAGGAATATGCTAAAAAAAGAAAGAAAAACATTAAATTGCCAACTGAAGCGAGTGCTGAAAGGAAGGAGATGCCAGGAGCACTTAAACAAGAATTCGAGACCAGGGGACGCTCAGGCGTGTGTTTCCAATCCGCAGACGGGAGACGTGTTCATTGGGAAATGACTGCCACTCACTGTTAGCTTTAGATCTTGTCGTTGATGTCCCAGAAAGTTAAATGGCCATGATGAGGACATCCCCATCTGTATTAGAATTTTCTTCTGGGATTGATGGATTAGTGCAGTGCATGGTAAAATGGTGCTGCTCCTCCTTTGGCTCCGAAACCTGCGTTTGCAGCTCAAACCTGCAAAGATGGAGATGAGCAATTTTACCTGGGCGATTGGTCCTGTCAGCAGCAAGGGGATTTGTTTGGGAAAACCGAGTCAAGACATCAGGGTGTCCAGGACTCCCTTGGGTGCTGCAGGGTGCCCTGCAGTACCTGGACCCAGCTGGCAGCGCCATGCCCTGGTGCAGAGCATCACTCCCATGAGAGCAGCATCCCACAGCTCTGTGCCGGCCCCAGAGGCAGGGTATCCGCTGGCACGGCCCCAGCCTGGTGCCACAGCGGGGTGATGCTCCTGCTGCTCACACTGCACAGAGTGCCCAGGACCAGGCTTCAACTGGGGCTAACAGGGGAGCTGACGGCGGAGCTCAACATCAGCTGAGCTATCCCAAATTCTGCTGTTTGAGGGTGAAGCTTCAGTTATCTGGGTACAGAGAGATTCACCTTCTCCAAACAACAGGCCTGCAGCTGCCCCGGGGTGCACGGAGGTGCAGGCTGGAGGCTGTCACCTTCCTGGGCTCTGTAACCAGCCCCGCGGGGAGGGATGGGCTCTCTGAAAATACCACAGACGCTGATTCACAGGGACATCTCCAAGCACTGATGGCTCGGGCTACTGGGGGAATATAACCTTTCGCAGCACATTCCAGATCTCTGCTGAAAAGCAATTATTGATGCTTTTACCTCTGTGCAGAGCTGCACAAATAATGGATCATGTCTCTGCAAGCTGCAACAGGTCAGGGAGCAGCACGCTGGCTCACCCCGGGCTGTGTGTCCTGGGGTGTGCATCTTGTCTGCTGGCTTGTGTGTGTGTATATGTGTGTGTCTGTGCATAGTCCGTAACACTGGAGAAATGGTGACAAAGCCAGGAGATCAGAGGCTGGACACGGATGACGAAGCCATTTCCCTCTCAAAAGGATGCATCTAAGCAGATGATTCAGCTCCCATCCGAAATCCACCAGTTCAAAGCCAGCTATTTCTTGGGGATTGCTGGCACGTGGTGGGAGGACGACACGTAACGCCAGCCGCTCTCCTGCTGCGTAGGCGCTACCCACTCGCACAGCAGCTGCAGCGCGCTGGGCTGGCAGTAGCCACTGCTCCCAGCAAGCCCCGGCCCGTTCGCATGGTGAGATCCAGCCTACTGGAAGCGCAAAACTCCGTAAACGTGGGGAGTGAGATTTTGGTCCATTAAGTCACAGCTTAGCGGAGATTGTTCGGTCATCCCTGGGTCATCCCTGGGTCCTGGTATCACCGTCCTAGTGACACTCCCATGGGGACCCCACTGAGTTGTGCAGTGGAGAGGGGAAGAAGACAGCAATGGGAGCAGGTTCAGCCTATTGGAATCAATTCCTGCCCGGCAAATGCTTCCCATCCCCCAGCGCCTGGCGAGCAGCAGGGGCTGAGCATCCCTGTCCCACTGCCACCACAGGGACTGGAGCAGGAGGGTGCAGCCGACCCCTGCCTTGCTTAACCAGCTGGAGCAGGTCCCGAGCCCCCAGAATAACTGTGTTGGGGCTGGCAGCATATTTGGGCATGGCCTGACCTTGTTGGTGTCCACGGATGCCACTTGTTTGGCCGCCCAGAGGCCTCAGAGCAGTTTCACAGCAGCCCACATCCTCCCCCCTTGTCCACGGCACCTCCTGGAGCTCAGTGCTTTCCCTGGGGGCACCCCCAGCCCACCCCACCACACACACTCCAGCATTCGTGCTGCCTATGCCGGGGCTCTGCAGAGCAACGGTGAGCAACGAGGAGCTTCAGCTCGTCACTGCTTTGTGCCCAGGTGGTCGCAGGAGGCTGCCCAGGGTGCATCTCGCCTGCCCATGGCCAGCATCCCCCAGGACCGACTGCTCCTCGTGCAGTCAGCGATGCTCGAAGTCCAAGCATCGGCACGGGGCTGTGGCTGAGCGTATGACCCCGAGGGGCTGGCAGAGACAAGGGGGAGGCCGATGCCTGCAAGCGGGGCTGCTGCAGCCACATGCCAGTGAGCAAGCATGCACGGAGCAAGCAGAAGCCTGGGAAAATCCCTCAGACAAGCAAATGAAGATGAATGGAAACATCTTCTTCATTAATTGCGCTGCTGTAATGGTGAGAAAACGTAGAGCAGCAGGAGGAGGGCGGTAGATGGCTACTGCCCGGCACAGCTCCCTTTTGGGGGCATTCTCTGATTCTAACAGTGGCTAGGAGAGAGACGGCCTCTGCAAGAGCTGCTTGTCCCTGTGTGTTCCTTCCTTTCAGTTCTCATAGAATCATAGAATCATAGAATCATTAAGGTGGGAAAAGACCTCCAAGATCATCGAGTCCAACCATCAACCCAACACCACCATGCCCACTAAACCATGTCCCTAAGCGCCACATCTACACGTCTTTTAAATACTTCCAGGGATGGGGACTCCACCACTTCCCTGGGCAGCCTGTTCCAATGTTTAACCACTCTTTCAGTAAAGAAATTTTT